TGTTTTTTTTTTTTTCCCTGCCTCCAAACTTTTCCATTTCATTTCCTTCGTGCACATTGTTTTCTGTCAGAATTGCTTTTTTTTCCCATCTCTAATTTTAAAATCGATTTTAGACGATACACAATTGGTTGAATTCATCCCGTTCTTTGAGAATTTTTGTGCAAGTGGGAATCTATTGCTAGAGACTTGATTCTTTATACTATTCTAAGAGCATTTCTCTTTTAAAAAACATTTATTTATTTTGAGAAAGAGCAGGAGAGGGGCAGAAAGAGAGGGAGACACCGAATCTCAAGCAGGTTCCAGGCTCTGAGCTGTCAGCTCAGAGCCCTTTGTAGGGCTTGAACTCACAAACCGCAGAATCATGACAGAGCCGAAGCCAGAAGCTCAACCGACTGAGCCACCCAGGCACCTTTAAGAACATTTATTTCTATTTTATACTACAGATATGTGTGTTTGTGCATATATTATTTTTCCCATTAAAGTATAAGCTTGTTGAAAATAGACACGATGCTTCCATTAGTGTATTTTCTGAATTGCTTTGCAAAGTGCTTGTGTATCCATTCATTGACTCAGGATATATTTATTAAAACTGTGCTAGGCTTTACAGACACTAATACATATTCTAGATAGTCTTTTTAAGTGTTTATTATATTCCCAGCACCTTTCCCATTAATTTATACCAATTTGTTATAATGTCTCACAGAAAGGTATTATTTTTCATTTTATAGCTAAAGGATCTGAGATTTGAAGAGGTTCATCCATTCATTAAATGTTTATTAAGTACCTGCCACATGCTAGGCAAGTAACTTGACGAACATTGTAGTTTCTAAATGAAGGCTGGTGTCTAAACCTGTAACTTTTAGCTCCATAGTCTGTACTTTCCCATTACACCACGTTGTCAGTCCTTGCCTTCCTTTTTTTTTTTTTTTTTTTTAAGTGTTTATTTATTTTTGAGAGAGACAGAGAGGGAAACAGAGGATCTGAAGCGGGCTCTGCGCTGGCAGCGGAGAGCCTGACGCGGGGCTCAAACTCACGAACTGTGAGATAATGACCTGAGGAGAAGTCAGACACTTAACCCACTGAGCCACCCAGGCGCGCCCCAGTCCTTGCCTTCCAAGAGCTCAAAGGTTGGCAAAAGAGGTAGACGTAAGCAACAATAATTATAATAACATTTAAAAGTTTTTTTTATTGTATTTTTAATTTACATCCAACTTAGTTAGCATATAGTGCAATGATAATTTCAGGAGTAGATTCCAATGATTCATCCCCTATGTATAACACCCAGTGCTCATCCCAACAAGTGTCTTTCTTAATGCCCCTTATCCATTTAGCCCATCCCTCCTCCCATAACCCCTCTGGCAACCCTCAGTTTGTTCTCTGTATTTAAGAGTCTCATGTTTTGTCCCCCTCCTTGCTTTTATATTATTTTTGCTTCCCTTCCCTTATGTTCATCTGTTTTGTATCTTAAATTCCACATATGAGTGAAATCATAGATTTGTCTTTCTCTAATTCCACTTAGCATTAATACCCTCTAGTTCCATCCACGTAGTTGCAAATGGCAAAATTTCATTCTTTTTGAATGAACGTGTGTGTGTGTGTGTGTGTGTGTGTGTGTATGATATATACGTATATATATATATGTGTGTGTATATGATATATATGTATATATATATGATATATATATGATATGTATATGATATATACATATATATGTATATGATATATACATATATATGTATATGATATATACGTGTATATATATATATATATGTATATATCATATACACACACACACATCTTATTTATCCATTCAAGCATCGATGGACATTTGGGCTCTTTCCAGACTTTGGCTATTGTCGATAGAGCTGCTGTAAACATTGGGGTGCATGTGCCCCTTTGCGATAGCACACTGGTATCCCTTGGATAAATACCTAGTAGTGCAATTGCTGGATGGTAGGGTAGTTCTATTTTTAGTTTTTTGAGGAGCCTCCATACTGTTTTCCAGAGTGGCTGCACCAGCTTGCATTCTGACCAGCAGTGCAAAAGACATCCTCTTTCTCCACATCCTCGCTAACATCTGTTGTTGCCTAAGTTGTTAATGTTAGCCATTCTGACAGGTATAAGGTTGTATCTCATTGTGGTTTTAATTTGTATTTCCCTGATGATGAGTGATGTTGAGCATCTTTTCATGTGTCTGTTAGCAATCTGGATGTATTCTTTGGAGAAGTGTCTCTTCAGGTCTTTTGCCCATTTCTTCACTGGATTATTTGTTTTTTTGGATGTTGAGTTGGGATAAGTTCTTTGGAGATTTTTATCTAATACGTCATTTGCAAATATCTTCTCCCATTCTTACGGTTGCCTTTTAGTTTTACTGTTTCCTTTGCTGTGCAGAAGCTTTTTGTCTTGATGAGGTCCCAATAGTTAATTTTTGCTTTTGTTTCCCTTGCCTCCAGAGACGTGTTTAGTAAGAAGTTGCTGAGACTGAGGTCAAAGAGGTTTTTGCCTGCTTTCTCCTCTAGGATTGTGATGGTTTCCTGTCTTACATTTAGGTCTTTCATCCATTTTGAGTTTATTTTTGCGTCTGGTGTAAGAAAGTGGTCCGGGTTCATTTTTCTGCATGTTGCCGTCCAGTTTTCCCAGCACTGTTTGCTGAAGACACTGTCTTGATTCCATTGGGTATTCTTTTCTGCTTTGTCAAAGATTAGCTGGCCATACGTTTGTGGGTCCATTTCTGGGTTCTCTATTCTGTTCCACTGATCTGAATGTCTGTTTTTGTGCCAATAATAATAACATTTGATGGGTGAGTACACTTAATCAAAGGGCTATGAGAGTATGGTGTGGAAGGGGCCAGCATTCTAGGAGGGATTGAAGTAAACCTTATTTAGTTGGTGCTATAAGACTAGGTTCTTGTAGAATAAAAAAAAAAAAAAAATATTGCTTCGTATTGAAGTCTAAGAAATAGAATATACAAAGACAAGGAGTTATAGAAGAACCTTCTATGATTTATAAGGACAAGAAGTTAGATGTGATTGAAATGATGAAGACTGTGGGCCTTGGAAAAGAAATGGCTTTTTAAGCTCAGTTACTTATTAAATATTTGTCATTTGAGGACCTGGGCTTTATAGTATAGGCTTTGGAAATGAAAAAGTCAGTCACTGCCCTAAGGAATGTAAATCTACTAGGGAGTTAGCCACATACACAGATAATCAAACTGGATGCTGAAGTGTGCCATGGGCCATATGGTCACTTGGAGAGGGGAGAACTGCCTCCTGGGAACAGTGGCATGAAAGAGGAGTGACATTCGTACTAGGTAGGACTTGAGAGGTCCGCAAAAAATGGTCAGTTTTCTCAATTTAGTAATCCTAACATCTCACTGTGTTTGAAATGTCCATATGTTTCCATGATGAGTCTGTTTCTGAGCATTTTCATTTTCTGAATGATGGGTAAATACAGATGAAGTCTATCACTAGCGGTATAATTTTGAAAGTGATTTAATTTTCACCGTTTGCTGCTTTAGATTGTTGTCAGTTTTGCCTTCGACTTAAAAATTTATTGTGATGTTTATTGATTTTTCAGAATTTTAAAGTCCAAGTCCTCAGCTTCCTCTGGACCCACACTCAAAACAAGGTACTATCACAAGGGTGTCAGTGAAACGCAACCCAGGTGGGAAAGAACTGTGAAACAAGACTGTTTGAATAAAAAAAATATAACTAATTTGAAATGACGGCTTCTTGATCTTAAAAGAATTCTGACATTAGTAAGTTTAGGTTTTTTAAATTCTTTTCTTTTTTTATTTTTTTAATAATTTATTTATTTTGAGAGAGAGAGAGAGCGCGCGAGCATGAGCAGGGGAGGGGCAGAGAGAGAGAGAGGGAGAGAGAGAGGGAGAATCCCAAGCAGGCTTCTGCACTGCCAGTGCCGAGCCCAACGTGGAACTTGAACTCACAAACTGTGAGATCATGACCTGAGCCGAAACCAAGAATCGGACGCCTAACCGACCGAGCCACCCAGGCGCCCCTAGAAATTCTTTCCAGTTTATGCCCATTAATGCATTTTTGTCATAAAAGGCACTTGTTACCTGGTGAAGCTGACAGATGTAAAGAGAGACTGGTGCCATTGCGTCATTTTTTTAATGGCCCTTCCCCTTTGCTGCTTTGCCTGTCCCTCAACAACAAGCATATCAAACAAACAAAAAGTCCAGTTCAATTTTTAGATGTCATTTCCAATCAAGGAGTACAAAGAAGAGGGTGTCTGTTGGTGACGTTATACTACACTCATGAGTGTATGAGCTTAAATTCCCATGGGCTAACTTTTTAGTAGCTGGAGAATCAGAACCTAATTCCAACGGATCGGACTTTATTTTTTTTTAATTTTTTTTTTCAACGTTTATTTATTTTTGGGACAGAGAGACACAGAGCATGAACGGGGGAGGGGCAGAGAGAGAGGGAGGCACAGAATCGGAAACAGGCTCCAGGCTCTGAGCCATCAGCCCAGAGCCCGACGTGGGGCTCGAACTCACGGACCGCGAGATCGTGACCTGGCTGAAGTCGGACGCTTAACCGACTGCGCCACCCAGGCGCCCCAGACGGATCGGACTTTAAATCCATATACTGCTTCAGTAAACCATGCCACCTGATGGGGACCTGAGTGATTTGGAGTGAATTGATGGTTAATGTCTGAACTGGGATAAAAACACAGTGCTTCTGATCTCTCTACCGAGTGCTGATTTCTCTCTCTTTTTAGTGGGACCTAGTAAGCAAGCCATGAATACGATTTCCAAAGCCCTGACTATAGCACTTTGAGGTTGGCGTGGGAATTTTGTTCTTCCTCCAGAGGTGATGTGTAATATATATTGTTTCTTTTGTTTCTCTTACTGGTACCCCATCTAGGAATCAATTGTAGCAAACGCTGCCTATAAATCTCTGTCACATTTTAGCGCGGGAGAGCATACCGTTCTTCATCTGCCCGAAGAGGTAGGCCTTTCTGCTTTCCCAGTGGTATCTCTTGACTGCTGGGGTTCATAACTGTATTTGTATTTCCTCTCTTTGAAGATTTTTAGCTGACGCATACGTAACTCTAGATATGTTGTCTATAAAGAATGAGAACTTACATATATTAATTTGTCTAATCTGTAAAAGACTGGAGAGGTCTTAGACCCCACAGATAATGAACTTAAATCTCTTGGAAGCAGATGGAAGGCACATACGGTGTTGACGAAGTCTCTGTAGGTAACTGCATGCCGGTGCCCCTGGCTTACCCCGGAGGATCTGTGTCACCGTAGGAACCATTTTGCCCAGTTAGTGTGAACTTCCCGGAGTTCACATCCAAGCATGGCCTACATAGACTAAAGTTTAGGCAGCCTGTGCAGCCAGAGATCCTTATTTGTGATACAAAATTGAGATGCATGTGAAAAATCTGCTATTTTAATTCATTTAGCGTGAAATGATACATAGGTTAGTCCCAGGGAACTGGATGAAGAAAGGATCACTCTTCTAAGAGTTAACACATTGTGTGACATTATCTTAGTTTATATGTATATGTATATGCATGTACATATATACGTATTTTAATTTCTTTGAAGCTCTATGCTTAACGTGGCGCTTCAACTCATGACCCCGAGACCAAGAATCGCATGCCTAAGCCAGCCGGGTGTCCCTCTTAGTTTTTAGATTGAAAACATACAACCTTTTCTAATATCTACTTAATATGACCAGGTTTAAGTTACTAGGTTATGTTAAGGACCTAAGTGTATGGATCTCACATTTAATGTTACTGCTAATTTAAATGCATATGAATGTTTATTGAATGCCTCTAGAGCGTAAAGCAGACATTGTGTTAGAAGAAGTCACGTCTGATGTTACCCAGAATCAGTCCTTAGGTCAAATGGCTCAAGAAGTTTTGGTACAAATGTCTTAGGATCCTAAGGCATTAAAATGGGTTGACTTTTTCCTTGGGACTGAGTTTGTATAGAGGTTAGTTGCCAGTAGGAACAAGGCAAACTTGTGTTTATTGAATTGAATTGGAGGGATTGTTGAAAGCCTCTTGTAAAATCAAATCCTAACTAAGGCAGGATTTCTCACGTTGACGATGCAAAGACAGATGGGCCAGCTTGTCGTGTGGCTATCCCAAATGGGAAGACTTAAGAAAAAGTGTTCTGTGACTCATAAAATTAAAAAAAGATGAACTTCAGATTGCACTGGAGGTCTCTTGTTGGGATGAGCACTGGGTGTTGTATGTTAAGTGATGAATCCCCAAAGCCAAGGGCACACTGTATTATATACACTGTATGTTAGCTAACTTGATGGTAAGTTATATTTAAAATAAATAAACACATAAACATGTAAACACCTAAAGAAAGAAAACAAAAAAGTTTAAAAAAGGAAAAGGTAAAGGTAAAAAAAGCTACATGTAAATTTTGTATGCAATTACTGCCTACCAGTAAATTGGGTACAACATCTGGAAAGATACTTTTTATTATTATTATTATTATTATTATTATTATTATTTTAATAAGCAATTGCTAATTTAGATTACAGCATCATAATTACCTTTACTTTTAGCTATTATTCATGAAATTTGGAGTAGTAGCTTTGGAATAGTAGCTTTGATTAAATAACTCCCACATATTCCTAGCTGTTTAGTCTCTACGTCTTTAGGTATTGATATGTTTATATCTTTTCCTACTTTAGCATTATGTTCAGTTTCTGATATTAGAGTTTAGATTCAGTTAAGGGCTACGCTTAGTCAAATATTAGATACTTTCTTATTTATTTAGAGAGTGCGCACATGTGCCCACGGCAGGGAGGGTCGGAGGCGAGGGTGGGGTGGGGTGGGGGGAGAGAGGGAGAGTCCCAAGCAGGCTTCAC